TAGGTTTAGGGTTTAGTGTAAGGGTCTAGTGTCTGGTGATTAGGGTTTAGGGTTTAGGTTTAAGGGTTTCGCGTTAAGGGTTTAGGGTTTAGCTTAAAGAGTCTTGTGTTAAGGGTTAAGGGTTTAGTGTTGAGGGTTTAGTGTTAAGGGTTTAGGGTTTAGTGCTAAGGGTTTAGGGTTTACTTTTAAGGGTTTAGGGTTTAGGGTTCAGTGTTAATGTTTAAGGGTTTAGTGTTAAGGGTTTATGGTTTAGGGTTTACTGTAAAGGGTTTAGGGTTTTAGGGTTTAGGGTTTAGGGTTTAGGGTTTGGTGACCTTGAGTCTGTTGTTGAGAGGAAAGGAGAACTGCGCCAAAGCAGAACGGAGAATGTTGGGGTGTCTCTCCGCAGAGAGACAAAAAAAAATAGAGACAGGAGAACCGAAGTAACGATAGCCAACCAACTACACACAAAAAGGAGACAAAAGGAGACAAAAGGAGACAGAAAGAATAAAGGAAACAGAAAAAGGAGAGAAAAAGGAGAACGGAGACAGAAAAAGGAGACAAAAAGAAGAAAAATACAACAAAAAGGAGACAAAAAGGGGATAAACATAAACAGAGACAGGAGAACCAAAGTAACGATAGCCAACCAACTAAACACAAAAAGGAGACAAAAGGAGACAAAAGGAGACAGAAAGAATAAAGGAGACAGAAAAAGGAGAAAAAAAAGAAAAAAAAAAGAAAGGAGACAGAAAAAGAGACAAAAAGAAGAAAAATACAACACAAAGGAGACAAATACAGATAAAGAAGAGACAAAAAACCAAGACAGACGGACGGCTCCAAACCACAAGGCAGCAGCAGCAGCAGCAGCAGCAACAGCAGCAACAGCAGCAGCAGCAGCAATAGCAGCAATAGCAGCAACAGCAGCAGCAGCAGCTGTAGCAACAGCAGCAGCAAAAGCACAACCAACAGCAGCACCACCAACACCACAGCAACAGCAACAGCAACAGCAGCAGCAACATCACCAACACCAGCAGCAGCAGCAACATCACCAACAGCAGCAGCAACAGCACCAACAGCAGCAGCAGCAGCAGCAGCAGACCTGAAAGAGTCTATCTAGTGCACTTTCGTTGTGTCCGACATCAAGAACAACTCCAAGAGGGACAGGAAGATTAAACTCTTCTGTCTCGTCTGCTGCTGCTGCTGCTGCTGCTGCTGCTGCTGCTGCTCCCCTGCTGCTGCTGCTGCTGCTGCTGCAGCAGCAGCAGAGACGTGCTGCAGCACGCAGCTGCTGCTCCGAAAGCTGCTGCCCCCGCAATGGGGGATTGCTG